GACCTAATATCCAAGTACCACCCAACACGTACACTCCGCTCCTCACAAGACCTCCTTCTCTCTAGTTCCCTGGTCTCCTCCTCCCATGCCCGCCTCCAGGACTTCTCCAGGGTGTCACCCATCCTTTGGAACTCCCTACCCCAACCCATCAGATTATCACCTACTCTTCTCTCCTTTAGGCGCACCGTGAAAACCCATCTCTTCAGGGAAGCCTACCCCACCCCCTGCTAACTTGCTGACCTCCTCCACTCTTCCTACCACTCCATCCCCCACAGCTATCTCCTCCTGTGCCACCACCCCCTCCCTCCTAGATTGTAAGCTCCAAAGAGCAGGGCCCTCGATCCCCTCATGTTTTGCATTGTATTGGTATTGTTCTGTCACATGTTCTGTCCCCCTTTGTAATGTACAGCGCTGAGCGAACTATTGGCGCTTTATAAATACTGTATAATAATAATAATTTCCATCCAGGAGAGGCACCACTGAAATACACAAGACTGAAGGGAAGGATGAAGGTCAACTTTAATAAAAAACATTTCATGAAATCATACGTGAAGTGCTTGAATGGAAGCCCTCGTTGTGCTCATGTCGCATGATTACTAACCTGTTTTGATTAAAAGCTTTGAACTCTCTGACCACAATCCGGCTATAGAAGGGAAATGTCATGGACCTGCACCAGGAAATGCTGTCGGTTCATTTACGTGTTGCTTGTCTTCAAGGCCTGCTTGATCTTGCCATTGATACTCAGCATTGTGAAGAGTTCTTTATGGTGTTTTTGTTATACCCGCTGCCACGGTCCCACGCAGTGTCTGAAATCAATATGATGGCTTGTTGTGACAAGGATGTATCAGTAGACAATGATTGTAGAGGGGGCTTATTCCGATGCAACATTGGCTGACATGTCCTGGCTGTATGGACCCCCAGCAACACGTAGTAGTGGCCGTAATTTTTTTAATTCTGTCTCCAAAACAAAGTAGCCTCATGCACACAGTGCTTTAACCCCTTCATAACGGCGCCTCCTGGCCCTTTAAGAGTTTCAGAAGCCGGGAGGCGGGGCGGGGTTTAGGGACATGTGACTGCCGTGATGCGCCGTCATGGCGGTCACATGATCGGGAAAGGTCCCAATCTCCTCTTTCGATCGGGACCTTTCCCGATCATGTGACCGCCATGACGGCGCGTCACGGCAGTCACATGTCCCTAAACCCCACCCCGCCTCCCGGCTTCTGAAACTCATGAGTACTGGACATGTGTGTTGGGGAGCGGGCAGGGTGTGCGCTTTTGGCACATACGTCCTTTTTTAATAGAACGCAAATGTGCGGCCGCTCAGCGTCTAGGCCCAGACACCGGGAGGCTCCACATTTGCGTGCGGCCAACGTAAAGAGGTTAACCCCTCACCCTCCAGAGGATTCCCCCCCTTCCTGACCAGGCCATTTTTTGCGATACGGCGCTGCGTTACTTTAACTGAAAATTGCGCGGTCATGAATATTGCTCCCAAATGAAATTTATGTCCTTTTTTCCCCACAAATAAAGCTTTCTTTTGGTGGTATTTGATCACCACTGTGTTTTTTTTTCTTTTTTGCACTAAAGGGCTCATGTACAAGGGGCGTTTGGGAAACACTTCTGAACGATGGAAACTGCTGGAAACCATAGGTTAAAAAACGTCTGTTTAGCCGCGTTTATGCACGTTTGCGTTTAGAAGCATTTTTAAAAGATAACCTCAGGAGAGCTTCCCAAATGCCCAGAATGCACTGAAAATAGTAAATCATTAACTATTTCAGACATTTTGAGAGGAATAGAGAGAGCAGAAGCAGAGAGAGCAGTATGTGTTGAGATGACTTGTCTTTTCTGGTTGTATTTACTATGGATGCCATCCTGAGCATAATGTGGCACGTTCTACCATTTTTATCCATCACGCCAAACCTGGAACTGACTGCGCTGGTGTACCGGGTCCATATCAATACATGGAAAACGCTTTGCATGCATTTCTGATGATGAAAAAAGACTCTGGACAGCATCTAGATATGGAACGCTTCTACACGCAAACGCTTATAAATGAGGGTTAACCGCGTGTACAAGCTTTTACACGCGTTTCCAAGCATTTGGCGTTTGAAACGAGGATAAAATCTACTCCTGAACACAAGTTTGATGCGTTCAAAAAAACGACTGTAAACCCAACTGCCTGTAAACATCGATGTGTACATGGACACATAGGAGAACATTAGGGAGAGTATAGGGGCTGCTAAAAAAATGCAGAAAAGCTCCTAAACGTCAGTTTATCATCTGCACTGTACTGAGCCCTAAACAAAAAAAGACCGACAATTTTGAAGAAAAAACAATATTTTTGACTTTTTGCTATAAAACATGTCCAGTAAAAAAAAATTTAAAAATCTAATTTTGTCATAAATTTAGGCCAAAATGTATTCTGCTCCATGTCTTTGCCAAAAAAAGTCCCAATACGTGTAAATTAATTGGTTTATGTGAAAGTTGTAGCGTTTACAAATGGCGGTATGTATACTGGGATTTTTTTTTTTTATACTAGTAATGGCGGCGATCAGTAACTTATAGCGGGACTGCGGTGGGCATTCTGACACTGGGGGAGGAACTGACTTGGTGTCACTGACATCCCCAGTGACACCAATACAGTAAACAGTGCTAATAAAAAGCACTGACACTGTACCAATGGCACTGGGCAGGAAGGGGTTAACATCTGGGGCGATCAAAGGGTTAACTGTGTGCTGTGTGTGTTTTACTAGGGAGACATGCTGTGCAGAGATACAAAGCTGTCAGAGGAGAGATGTTACATACAGACCTCTCCCCTGTCAGCTCCGTTGATGGTCACCGAGTCCCGGAGTCCGGGGCCCAATGGTTGACATACTGAGGTGCCAATAGTGGCACGGGTAGGGAGTGCACACACGTGTGCACGCCCTACCTGGAAATACAAAATCACACACACATATATATATACAGTATATATACAGTCAGGTCCATAAATATTGGGACATCGACACAATTCTAACATTTTTGGCTCTATACACCACCACAATGGATTTGAAATGAAATGAACAAGATGTGCTTTAACTGCAGACTGTCAGCTTTAATTTGAGGGTATTTACATCTAAAATCAGGTGAACAGTGTAGGAATTACAAGAGTTTGCATATGTGCCTCCCACTTGTTAAGGGACCAAAAAGTAATGGGACAATTGGCTTCTCAGCTGTTCCATGGCCAGGTGTGTGTTATTCCCTCATTATCCCAATTACAATGAGCAGATAAAAAGGTCCAGAGTTCATTTCAAGTGTGCTATTTGCATTTGGAATCTGTTGCTGTCAACTCTCAAGATGAGATCCAAAGAGCTGTCACTATCAGTGAAGCAAGCCATCATTAGGCTGAAAAAACAAAACAAACCATCAGAGAGATAGCAAAAACATTAGGCGTGGCCAAAACAACTGTTTGGAACATTCTTAAAAGAAGGAACGCACCGGTGAGCTCAGCAACACCAAAAGACCCGGAAGACCACGGAAAACAACTGTGGTGGATGACCGAAGAATTCTTTCCCTGGTGAAGAAAACACCCTTCACAACAGTTGGCCAGATCAAGAACACTCTCCAGGAGGTAGGTGTATGTGTGTCAAAGTCACCAATCAAGAGAAGACTTCACAGAGTGAATACAGAGGGTTCACCACAAGATGAAACCATTCGTGAGCCTCAAGTCACAGGAAGACCAGATTAGAGTTTTTTTGCCAACGACATCTAAAAAAGCCTTCACAGTTCTGGAACAACATCCTATGGACAGATGAGACCAACATCAACTTGTACCAGAGTGATGGAAGAGAAGAGTATGGAGAAGGAAAGGAACTGCTCATGATCCTAAGCATACCACCTCATCAGTGATCATGGGGGTGGAGTGTCATGGCGTGGGCATGTATGCTGCCATGGAACTGCTTCTGTAAAAAATGACTTCTGACAGAAAGCATCTGAATTCTGAGTGTTGTCGGGAATTTTTACTGACTATGACAATGCTTCACAACTCATTTGGACGTTCACCACTCGCAGATGGACAATGTACCACACTGAAGTGTGTTTCGGGACTATTATGGAATGCTTCACAATCATGGACTGCATAGCAACCAAAGAATTGCTTCAGAGTGGATATGGAATTGGCCAAGTCAGATCACCTGACCTGAAGATTGAGCATTTCACTTGTGAAGACAAAACTGACGGGAAAGGAACTGCAGGAATGAAGACTAAGTTGCAGTAGAGCCTGGCAGAGCTCACAGGATGAAAGCATGGTGATGTGGTATGCGTTCCAATCAGGCTGTAGTGGACTACAAAGGATTTGCAACCAAGTATGGCTGCCAATGGAAGTTTGATTTATGATTTCTCTTGTATATTGGTCCTTAACAATGTGACTGCTGACAAAAGCAGCCTGTGATGGATTTACACCGTTTAAATTTGATTTTAGGACCCCTCATATTAAAGCTGCAGTCTGCATTAAAGCACATCTTGTTCCATTCAAATCCATTGTGGTGGTGTCATAGAGCCTCATTGATTGTGTCCATGTCCCAATATTTATGGACCTGACTGTACACTATATATATATATATATAGCAGACTATATATTACATATTTTGGGCACCCCTGCCGACCCTGTAGCAGTAGTTTGCTATAGGGCGGGAAAACAGTGTGAATGAATATCCAAGCTCTCGATGGCCAATGTGGTTTCACCTGATAGGTGAATCCGACCCTGCTTTTTCCTCTGGCTGAAGTATAGATGTTACAGGAGAAAGCAAAAAGCATCCTGTGTGCATGTGGCCTACTAATATGAACCTTCAACTAAACGGACCCTGCATTCACTATATCCGGACCCTGCATTCTCCCCGGCTCTCCCGGACCCTGCATTCACTATATCTGGTCTCCCCGGACCCTGCATTCACTATATCTGGTTCTAGGAACCCTGCATTCACTATAATCTGCTCTCCCGGACCCTGCATTCACTATATATGGTCTCCCCGGACCCTGCATTCACTATATCTGGTCTCCCCGGACCCTGCATTCACTATATCCGCTCTCCCCGGACCCTGCATTCACTATATCTTGGCTCTCCCTGGACCCTGCATTCACTATACCGCTCTCCCCGGACCCTGCATTCACTATATCCCATCTGGTCTCCCAGGACCCCTGCATTCACTATATCTGGTCTCCCCGGACCCGCATTCACTATATCTGGTCTTCCCCGGATCCTGCATTCACTTATCCGCTCTCTCCCTGGACCCTGCACTCACTATATCTGGTCTCCCCAGACCCTGCATTCACTATATCCGCTCTCCCTGGACCCTGCATTCACTATATCCGCTCTCCCGGACCCTGCATTCACTTTTATCCGCTCTCCCCGGACCCTGCATTCACTATATCCGCTCTCCCCGGACCCTGCATTCACTATATCCTGTCTCCACGGACCCTGCATTCACTATATCTTGTCTCCCCGGACCCTGCATTCACTATATCTGCTCTCCCCAGACCATGCATTCACTATATATCCCGTCTCCCCGGACCCTGCATTCACTATATCTGCTTCCCTGGACCTGCATTCACTATATCTGGTCTCCCGGACCCTGCATTCACTATATCCGCTCTCCCCGGACCCTGCATTCACTATATCCCGTCTCCCCGGACCCTGCATTCACTATATCCGCTCCTCCCGGACCCTGCATTCACTATATCCCGTCTCCCCGGACCCTGCATTCACTATATCTGCTTTCCCTGGACCCTGCATTCACTATATCTGGTCTCCCAGATCCTGCATTCACTATATCTGGTCTCCTTGGACCCTGCGTTCACTATATCCGCTCTCCCAGGACCCTGCACTCACTATATCTGGTCTCCTTGGACCCTGCATTCACTATATCCGCTCTCCCCGGACCCTGCATTCACTATATCCGGTCTCTCCCAGGACCCTGCATTCACTATATCTGGTCTCCCCGGACCCTGCATTCACTATATCTGGTCTCCCCGGACCCTGCATTCACTATATCTGGTCTCCCCGGACCCTGCATTCACTATATCCGCTCTCCCCGGACCCTGCATTCACTATATCTGCTCTCCCCGGACCCTGCATTCACTATATCCAGTCTCCCCGGACCCCGCATTCACTATATCCGCTCTCCCCGGACCCTGCATTCACTGCATTCTGGTCTTCCACAGCACACAGAACATGGAAATGCAATTATTTTAGTAAATATAAACTGCAAAATACCTTTTCTCATTAGCAATATATAGCAGGGGTGGACTAACTGGCAATAGGGGATCATGGGGCCCCTGTGTCCTCGATCACACTCAAACCACAGCCAAAAAAGCCTATAAAAAGTACCAGGGGCATCTCGTGGGGCCCCCTACTGACCCCGGGCCCTCGGGTAGTGCCTGAGTGCTCGAATGGTTAGTCCGCCCCTGGTCTTGTGATTTCTATCAGTGTCCAGTAGAGCACTGGTTAAAGCTTGTAGGAGGAGTTTTATTTCTGCTCTAGGAGGATGTGAAACCCCTGACCTTTGTCTGGACAGCACTGATTGGCCCTGGGCTGATCACATGCTCTCTCCCAAGAAAAAAAAAAAAACCTCTCTAGCAATACACACTTAACTGAGCATGTGCATGTGACTACGGATTCAGTCTTTATCAGATGGTCATTTCAACAAGAGGAAGGGCAGACAAGACAGGATCAAACAGCCTATTTAAACAATGCAGAGGATTAACCCCTTAGGCTCCACAGTGAGTATAACAAGCACGCTTTACTGCATCTACAGACTGATTGTACTGTTGTGGGTTCAGGAACACTTTACATTTTTTAATTTAAATCCGATAAATACATTTCAGGCAGAGCAAAACAAAAGGTGTGCAAAGTCTTACAGTGCTTTTTCTTTAGGAAGCAACCAATAATAAAGCCTCCCACTCCCCCCCCCCCCCCACTGCAGAGTAGGACCCTTGCTAAGTCGGACTTTCAAGTGAACCCAAGCCCATTACATTTTCCCTTTTAGCTGATACATTTCTGTGCCTCCTGCCAGCCCCTGAACACTTTCTCCTGGCAATTGCACTTTGCTTATTAAGCTTACCTGGAAAAGCAGCCTCGCTCCTCAGGAATTATATCTAAACTCATTTCAAGATTGACTATTGATTTTCAGATCTGGGCGATAGCACTTGTAAAATCCCTCTTCGCATTATTTCAAATTCCACCGCCGGCCTTTCCTGACCATTTCCATCCGCGAGGTTATATTAAGAAGGGAACTTTTTCTTGTTCAAACATTTTATTGAGTTACAGGAATGTAGGACATGCAGGATACAACCAGGGGCGGACTGACCATTTGGAAACTCGGGCACTGCCCGAGGGCCCGGGGTCAGTAGGGGGCCCCATGAGATGCCCCTGGTACCTTTTTCATAGGCTTTTTTGAGATTGGGCAAGGACACAGAGGCCCCATGATCCCCTATTGCCGGGGACCCCATGAGTTGTCAGTCCTGCCCCTGGATACAACAAACGGTACCATATATATGCAGCATAAAAGAACGTGAGGACCAAGGCCTTAGAGCAGTGATTCTCAACCTTCCTAATGCCGTGACCCTTTAATACAGTTCCTCATGTTGTGGTGACCCCCAACCATAAAATTATTTACCCAGTAATTATAATTCATGAGTGTCATTTTACCTCCAATACTGCTGCTTTCAACACAGTAGCTGCTTTCAACACAGTAGCTGCTTTCTACACAGTAGCTGCTTTCTACACAGTAGCTGCTCTTTACACATCGGAAATATGTGTTTTCTGATGGTCTTAGGGGACCCCTGTGAAAGGACCCCAGGTTGAGAACCACTGCCTTAGAGCATCTGTATGGTTATAACAAACTTAATAAACTAAATAAAATAACCAGAAAAAAAGAAGGAATAGAAAGGTGGGAACAAATAGGGGAGGTAGAAGGGAAAAGGAGACGGATAGGATGAGTGACTTCCAGGACGGGGAAGGGGAAGCGGGACCGAACCAGTGCTCCGGAGCAACTTCCAGGGTGAGGAAGTATTATGGTTGAAGCAGCTATTCATCAAAACCCTGAGAGAGGAAGTGATCGACCCAGGGGGACCAGATCAATACAAATTTGGGAATTGTGTCTGTGATGGTAGCTTACACTTTAGCATGTATCATGACCTGTATCACCTTAATCCAAACCGCCTGTATGCTTAGAGATGAGGTTTTCCAAGATTTTGCTGTAACTTGCTTAGCGGGGGTTGTGATCTTAGAATCACCGCACACTTCACTCATTTGGGCAGTCACGGGGCCAAAACCAGAGTGTGGAGCCACAGTGTGGCGGTGGAGGCAGCAGCAATGGGAGGCCATACAGCACCCTATGACAAAATGGAACCCACCAGCAGTGTGAGGAGACCTGAAAGTGGCACATGGCAGAGTGTGGCGATGGAGACAGCAGCAATGGGAGGCCGTACAGGGACCCATGACACACTCTGGACCTGGCAGCAGCATGAGGAGGCGGTACAGGGGCCCATGACAGATTACGGGCCTGGCAGCAGCATGAGGAGTCGGTACGGGGGCCCATGGCAGATTACGGGCCTGGCAGCAGCATGAGGAGGCGGTACAGGGGCCCATGGCAGAGTGGCGGAGCGTAAACAGCTAAAATTGAAGGCCATACAGAGGCCTATGTTAAAAAGTCCCCCCAGCAGCAGCGTGGGGAGACGACTATCAAGAGTCCAATGGCAGAGTGGCGGAGCAGAAGCAGCTTCACTTGAAGGCCATACACAGGCCTAGGTTTAAAAGTCCCTCACAGTTAATTCCAATAACGAACTCTACTCCTCCGTGCAATCTACTTACGAGACCCTGGGCAGGTCTGGGTCCAATTTGTGGTAGAGACTGGTTTTGTTCAGCCATGCTTGAGCGAGTAATAACAGGTCTGTGCTGCCCTTTGGTGTCTGGCTTAATGCGCACAACACTGAACGTCCAGCGTTTGTCAACGATTTGCCGTTAAGTGATGCAAACCCGCTGAACCACGTTCATGAGGAGCC